TTGCTGAGCTTAGTTTAGAAGGATCGTAAGGTAATTATGTTCTCCTCGCCGAAGGCAATAATTGGCCTCTGAATTATGACTCTACGGAGTGTAACTTTACAAATCAAACAATTTTCGGAAACCTTAAATTTCACATTTTTGTATCACAATGTAACGCGGTTGTAGCGTTATGGTTGTAGCGCTATTTGTATGTAAACACGGATAAGACTGTAGAGTAGAAAATGTTCTCCTTTAAATCTAAAAAAGGAAAGAAACAACCTAACCCGACCCCCTTCTCAAATAAATGTATTCTGGTCACTGCTATTATATTCCTTATTAAATTGAAAATAAAGAAGTTTTGGATCTAACTGATGTGTTATATGTTTTGAAATGCGTTCCCTGATGGCTGAACCAAAGGTAAGAACTTTCAAATTTACACGATTTTCTCACAACAAATGGTAAAGGTGGTCGTTGGTAATATGTACAATATATTCATACAGTAAATGGTACGGACCTTGGTAATATGTACAGTACACATATCCAACAATGATACCGACATTGTTTATGTGTGCAATATAGTCATATTGTTAGGTTCTTGCAAAAGGTAACAAGAAAGAGTGAAGGCAAAAAGCTTTGTAAAATTTCACAAATAATTATTTATTTCCCTAGAAAACCAATGTAAAAATTAGAAAAAGGACTTACTGTTTTACGAATCAAATCCAAAAATAAAACAAGAATAAAAAATAGAACTCCTATTATTAAAAAGTCTTAAATGAATCTAAGTTCGAGTCCCGATGAAATTCCAAGATAAAAGGCGATGATGTATGCAATAATCCAACGTCGTTCTCATGTATCAACAGTTTCTCTGTTTAATCACAGAAAATAATATTCCAGTTTAGAAATTCCGAATATTTTTCAGTTAAAGTCTTCGTCCAAGAATTTTGTATGAGCACTTGTATTTTCCAGTGAAAAGAGTCACTAATTCCATAAAATAAAAATTCAACTCAAACTGTTCACAACAAAAAATTCTTTAAGTGTCAAAGGTTTATAGCCGACTGGCTAATTCTTATGAAGAAAACAGTTATACACTTAAGTAAAGACGTAAAACAGATTCCCGTATGATTGGCACGTGGTCATCCTTCCAGCAGGAATATAAATTTGTTACATGATAATTATTTCGTACTACATGTATAGCCTTGATTCCATTGAATGAATCTTACTCTTAGAATCAACTCGATTTTATTTTTACCAGAAACCTTACTGGTTCTGAATCAAGGTCAGCAGCAGTGATTGTATTACTCCTTACTCGTTGTTTATCATAATTAACAGTCAGGTCAAACAGAGCTGAATTAAATCTTTTAAACAAAGTTATTACAGAGTTATTACAATATCTTGTAATGGAATAAAATAAATTAAAACTAACAAACAAATAATTACATATACATAACATTACAGGAAATGACATTGGCAATATGTAAAACATTGGTAATATGCACAGTATATTTATCCAACAATGGTACTGATATTGGAAGTATGTACGATATATTCGTACAGAAAATGGTACAAACGTTGGTAATATGTACGGTATATTCTTACAATAGATGGTACGGACATTGATAATATGTACGGCATATTCATATATGCAACAAATGGTACGGCTGGTCGTTGGTAATGTTCATGTAAATATGTGGGTAAAAAACAGAGCGAATAAATATAATTAGAAATAGTCATCAAATCGATAAACAGCTTCTGTTGCATTACATCATTGGAAAAGGTAATATCATTTATAAAACATTTGCGTGGGACATATTTTTCCAATGATTGATTCATTTTTTTTACAAAAAGAGTAACTAGATGAACGTTATTTATGGTATACTCAAACAACACCAAGAAGTATATTTTACAATAATTTTTGAATGAAAGTCCAAATTTATTTATTTTATAGGTTTGAGAAAAGTATACTCTTTTTTTTGTAAACCTTGTAATTTTAAAATATGCTAATTGAACATGAGTACCGTATTTTCCCGTATATATATATATATATATATATATATATATATATATATATATATATATATATATATATATATATATATATATATATATATATATATATATATATATATATCCCGAGATTTTACCAGATTTAACAAACACCGCAAGGGGGGTGCGGGTTATATAAGGGTGCGGGCTATATCCTAAGCTTTTTTTCACGTACGTTAATAATATTTCAATATATTGTTTGAAAAACATGAATAATAACTTGAACGCCGACTTGGTCCACCAACCTTGTTGCCGGAATGTCGAAACACATAAGTACTTCATCCATATTACTAATGGCATAATGGAGAAGGTCATGCTTCTGAATTTCCCTGTCGACGAATTCACGAAAATCATCCATCTGCTTTTCCCAATTCTCGGATAGACGTTGGCTGACGATCATTCATGTTCAGATTGACAATTGATTCCTCTTCATAAATGTATATACCTAATGCTCTCCTTTAAAATCATCAACGTGCTTCTCTGCCGCCATGAGTTTGGCCTTCAGTTTGATGGCAACTGTCAAGATTGGTCGGTTGTTTCACAACTAGACAATGATCCTTTGCTTTCAGGTCAGCTTCAAGGTATGGCCATTTTGCTTTTGGTCCGCGAAGAGCATGTTTTCGTGGATTCATCTTCTCCAACGCTCTTTTATCTTTTCTCCAACCTCGGATTACACTCTTATCAATATCAAATTTTCTGCCTGTGGCTCTATTGCCATGCACTTTAGCATATGCAATGGCAGTTAGCTTGAAGTCGGCTGTGTAAGAATTTCGTTTCGGCAATTTTTAAATTTAACTGAAATAAATTATTTAAACTCGAATCTACACTTAACAAAACATACAAGATTATTTAGAAATATCCGCGTTTATGTAGCTTGTATCCATCTGCCGCACTGAGAAATTTATATCCAGTGGTTTCCTTCCCTTTATCATAAATGAAAATTTGTCAATTGTTTTATCACCCATCGGAGGTAAAGAAGGCTTCATTACCATTTTCAATTTTTAGATTAAAAAATTGTCTCAGGCAGGACCGAAACGATTGTTGTTTAAACTTATAGCTCCTGAGCGGATGGGTGGATGTAAAGGTGGCTTCTTTGATCTGCTAGGTCAAGTCTATAGCGAGTGGGATTAGGGTAGTATCGTACCTAGACCTATAAATACCCGATGGCTTCAAAATTAAAATCTGCCGGCGGGCAGCCAAAATATAGAGCAAGTTATGCAAAGGTGCGAGTTATGCTAACGATTTTTTCTACTACAAAACCGGACAAATCCGCGGGCTATATGATGGTGCGGATTATCTGCGTCTGCGGGATATACGCGAAAAAAATACGGTAATTATGTCTTTTTGTCAAACATGATTAACTGTAGTAATCTCCTAAAGAAATATTAAGCGTTGAAGAAAACATATTTTGATCATAATTTACGGCAGTTATATACTATAACGAAGCAGGGTTTTTAGCTTAATTTATTGACCTGGTCTTTTTTGCACGGCTTTATTCTTGTTTCGTTTCTACACTAATCTGTTCTTATTTGTTTGCATTTCGGTAGCTGCTGGTTTGGTTTCGTTCCCATCTAATTTTTACTTCCCATTTTGACATGTTTTTTGTGTCCTCGCACAATCGATTATTACGTCAGAAAAATAAATGGTGTAATAAAATGAAGTTACAATCTAGAACATAAGCAAAACAGACAAGAAAAAAATCCAATTTAGTTTTAAATTTAACGCAGAGCAAAGGCACATATATACGTACCATTACGTTCGAATAGATCTCTGATAGCTGTACCAAGTAAATCTGTCATCATCTTTATATATAGCAGAAGTGCAAACTGGTATTCCTATCACGAATGACCTACTTTCGAGAATAGACTTGGTCCTTTAATAACAATGTACCTAATATATTATTCATATCAACAAAACAAAATCTCTCTTAAATGTGTATTTCAGCTTTTGCCTTAATACAAAATGAATAATAAATTTATCTTTCGGTCTGTTGGATATCTGTCTTTATACAAAATCCATAATAAATGTTCATTGTATTTATGTATGAATGTATATGCGTGTCTCTATGTATGTATGTATGTATGTATGTATGTATGTATGTATGTATGTATGTATGTATGTATGTATGTATGTATGTATGTATGTATGTATGTATGTATGTATGTATGTATGGAGGTCACGGATTCAAACTCAGGCCGAGTCATGCTAAAGACATAAAAATGGTACCAGCTGGGCTTTCAGCATTGAAAGGTCAGTGTTAGACTGATCAGCCTCGTATCAGGATAATGTGACTGGATGGGACATGATGTTACATGTCTGCGGTATGAAGTCACAATGCTAGATATCGCTATAAACTGCCACAATGCAGCCATCATAGTGATATGACTGAAAAGTTCTTAAAGCTACGTTCAAAGTAACACACACACACACACACACTCACACACATACACACACTCACACACATACACACACCTCTAGTAGTTTCGTTTAGATGAGATCTGTTCCACATTTGTAAAGATGAGACGTGTTTCTCTTCCTTTAGAGAAAGTGTTTACCTCTTCGCTTAGATCATACGTGTTCCTCAATTAATTCTTCTTGGCGTTAAGCTGCGTTCCTCGTCGTTTAGACGTAATATTATCCTCTACGTTTAGATATCAATTCTTCGCGTAGAGATGTGTTCTTTGTCGTTTGGGTGTAATGTGTTCCTCTTTGTTTAGAAATTAAATCTTCGTTTAGAGATGTGTTCTTCTTTGTTTAGACATAGTGAGTTCTTTGTTTAGACGTAACGTGTTTCTCATGGTTTTGGAGGTAGTGTGTTTTTCTTTGTTTAGATGTAACGTGCTCCTCATCGTTTTAGAGGTAGTGTGTTCTTTGATTAGACTAACGTGTTCCTCGTCGTTTTAGACGTAGTGTTTTTCTTTGTTTAGATGAAATATGTTCCACCTCGTTAAGAAGAGATGTGTTATTTTAACAGAGAAGCTGCGGTGGCTCAGTTGGTAAAGCGTTGAACTTGTAATTCAAGGTTCATGGGTTCGATACCTCGCACCAAGCCAATCAGGTAAGTGGCATCGTATGTATGTATGTATGTATGTATGTATGTATGTATGTATGTATGTATGTATGTATGTATGTATGTATGTATGTATGTATGTATGTATGTATGTATGTATGTATGTATGTATGTATGTATGTATGTATGTATGTATGTATGTATGTATGTATGTATGTGAAAACCATCTGACATTCTGTGCGAGTAACATTTAATCATACGAGTTTTATATTTCCCATAACTGAAGGATTTTGTGATGGCGTTAACGTGTTCACTCAACATTGACTATTCCATGATTCAGGTGCCCTTTCCATGGACACACCCAAGTAGTCGATGCGGGCTAGCAGGGGCTAGCAAGGACGGCTATCTAACCTACCATCCTTAGATTGTAAGTTCGACGCTTTACCAACTGAGCTAATGCTGCTCCAAACGAAAACGTGCGTTCTGCCAACATTCGACACAGAAACACGAGACCGGTGATTATATAAATGAATTTAGGTGTTTACTTACATTCCATCCTTTGACAGATTTCCTTGAAAATATATAACGTTACATACTAAAATCTTGAAGAGATTCACATTTCTCAGTTAAAAGGTACATAATCCACATTTTCGGTTAAGTCACAGAACTAATAACGACATTCCTACTGAAAAGTTTCTCGAATTATCAAAGAATATAATTTCGGTAATTACACCAAAGTGACGTAAACCTTAAAACTATGGCATATCTATGTTCTGTTTTTTTTTTACTCTCAGTTAGTAAAAATATATTTTACTGAATTTAATATAAAATGCTAATATATTAAACTCTACTATTTAAAGAGTATCTCATTTTTGAATTAGTTATTACTGAGTATGAATTTAGTAGCTAAGGTCGCACTTAAACAATAATCGATTATAAAAATTTCAAATAAGTGTAAGTTCTTCAAACGATTAAACTTTCGAATACATTATACTACAGAATAGTAAAGAAATATTAAAATAATCCAATATTGTACATGAACTGATCTTACGCTGAATTCTTACTTTATCATTTTACCAGCAAAAATCCTTTTACTATATAAAAATTGATACGCAGACGGTAGCTTACCTGTAAATTATACAAGCCTCTTTAAGTTCTGACGAACTAGACTGATTTTGCCAAGCAACGTCCCTGGCTACCTATACACAGGTTTCTTAAGACGCGGCCAAAAATGGGTTCTTTGGGTTTCGCCAGAATCTCAAAGTGAGGCTTCATCGTTTTCTTACCGAATACCGTCTGGGTCTATACGTGACCAAACAGATTTTTCCATGAACAAGTGAAACTTTCGTGATATACTCAACAGGAAGAAATCTGCTTATTCCGCACTGATGCTGCAGAGTTGTAAATTTGCTAACTTAAGTATTATACAATGCATAGGATCTCACGTAGAGAAACATGCCCTTTATTGAAATAGTACACAATTATAATACAAGAATAATAAAAAAAATTGTGTATAAAACAACTTGCTGAAAAATTCCAATTGAACATAATTAAAAAACACTATACCGAAACAGGGATAAAAGTATAAATAGCACATGCCAAAGTTTTTTTTCAGTACTGAATAAGTTCAATTTTAGAAATTATTCTTTTTGTACATTTTTTTAAGAAATATCACCAAAACATATGCTAGAGAAAAGAAACTAAACTATTATTATATATCATGATCCGACTAATTCTTAGCCTTGATAGTTTGTATAAAGGTCAATCAGGCATCCGGGTGAAGAAACTTGTGACAAGCTAAATTCACATAATACCTAGCGTTTAAGACAAATATTTAGGAAATCTTCCCAAAATTGTATCATTGACAAAAGCAAAACTTTCTTTGCATCCACTTCACCACATCTAAGCTGAAAGTTTCTATACACTTTTACAAGTGACACGAAAGTTTCTATACACTTTTACAAGTGACACGAAAGTTTCTATACACTTTTACAAGTGACACGAAAATTTCTATACACTTTTATAAGTGACACGAAAATTTCTACACACTTTTACAAGTGACACGAAAGTTTCTATACACTTTTACAAGTGACACGAAAATTTCTATACACTTTTATAAGTGACACGGGGGGGGGAAGCGATGAAGAACTGAATTCCGACAATACCAAATACTGGGTATTCTTACATTGCCAAATACTGGGGATTCCAACAATACCAAATACTCAGAACATATATTTCTAAAGCTGACTTCCAAAACAAAATGTTCAGAGAAAACTAAAACCTTACTGCATGTCTGCAGACATGCTGCCCAGTAAGTTTCACTAATTTCATCAACATAGCGCGGGTGTAGAAGCGATGAAGATCTGAATTATTAAAACACTTTATTCTTTTGACAATAAAATCAAGACATTTTTGGTAAAAGGAGTCAGAGACAAAAGGTACACATTTGTTATACACATAAACATGTCTACAATGTGCCATTGAAAGCCTCCAAGCGGTGTCGGAGGTACACATTTGTTATACACATATACATGTCTACAATGTGCCATTAAAAGCCTCCAAGCGGTGTCGGAGGTACACATTTGTTATACACATATACATGTCTACAATGTGCCATTAAAAGCCTCCAAGCGGTGTCGGAGGTACACATCTGTTATACACATATACATGTCTACAATGTGCCATCAACTCACGTCCTTTCTTCAATAATGTTTTAATGCATTTTCTACAAGATATGGGCCGTAAAAAGTGTGTATGTCTGCGTGTTTGTGTTGTGTGTGTGTGTGTGTGTGAGAGAGAGAGATAGAGAGAGATATTTAGATTTAGATTTGGATTTTTAACGTAGCTTTAACAATTGTTCAGTCATACTGCTACAATGTCTGCAGTGTGGCCGTTTATAGTGGTGTCTACGATTGGCTTCATGCCGCAGACATGTAGCATCACGTCCCACCCAGTCACATTATCCTGACACCAGGCCGACCAGTTCTAACAATAACCTCTTCATGCAGAGCGGCTAGCGAAGCAGCTGTTGGGACCATTTGTACGCCTTTGGTATGACTAGGGCTGGGTTCGAACCCGCGACTTCCTGCATCCAACGCGGACGCTCTAACCACTATGCCAACAGAGTGTTAAATCCTTAAAAAAGTAATACTGCACATCTATACAAATCACATATCTAGGTACAGAGTATCAATAAAAATCAAACCAAAAGTTAGTCTATGAGAAGCGATAACGAAATATTTTTCCCAAATTACCTGTTGGGTCAATATATGGAGTAATCTACCAATATTGGGCCCAGAGGAAACATCCATAAAGTCATAAAGTGTGAAAGAGGACAAAAGTAAGCCTTACTCCGCATCAACACTGGCAAACTATCTAGCCTACAATTTTTCAATCAAATCTCCTGTGCACGAAAAGAAGTGTTAATGGACGAAATTCCCTAAATCCCTGTTTTGCTTATCTAAAGAATTTCTCTAAAACATGGCCAGAAGGCAGAAAAGGGAAAGATTACAGCACGCCTACACCAGCTACATAGAAGCCTACAAAAATGTTAATACCGCTAGCTTGAGAAAAGACGTTGACTTGCTGAATTCCCCAAATACCCCATTTTAAAAAATAGTTTAATTTCATCTAAATGGACCGACGAAACACGTACAATTTAGCTACACCATTCACATTTATTTCAGAAATGTATCTTATAAAATAGAGCAGAGGAAAGAAGTAAAACCCTTCTTGCGCATCTGCATCGTGTGTATATATATATATATATATATATATATATATATATATATATATATATATATATATATATATATATATATATATATATATATATATATATATATATATCCAGCCAACAATATTTCAGAAAACTATACTGAGCAGTGCTGGAGGAAAAGCGATGACATCTTTTGATACGGATTTATTCTACCGAGTGTGGCGAGAGGAGAGGCGATGATAAGATTTGACACGGTTTCAATCTACTAGATGCGACGACATACTTTGACCTAGATTGAGTAACTCTGCCGAGCAAAGCAAAGGCAAGCTTTGACACGGATATATTAAAATCTAAAGAGCAATAAGGGAGAAGAAACAATGACAAACATTAACATTGATTTAGTCTAACGAGAGATGGGAGATGAGAAGCAATGACAACTTTGACAATGATTCAATCTACCAAGTGAGGTAAGAGGAGAGGCGATGACAAGTTTTGACTTGGGCTGACTGAAGGAGATACTGACTTTAAAAGGGCAGAAAGAATAAAGTCCTATTCCTCGATAAGGTATTTTATATCGACATACCATCACTCCATTTAACTGTGCTATGTGAAGAATGCTAGTGTGCAGGTAGGTATATAGTTTCCTTTGGATACAGCTCAATATTTGTGCTATCTACAATTCACGTATTATAGATCAATCATTTCAAGGGGCTACAAATACCACATCAAGTGGTTCATTGATAAATTCGGCAAAATCACGTGACTGGAATTTCCAGCATGCAATCTCTACGCCTATTTATAATTAGATATTTCGTCAAACCACGTGGTCCGATATATACTGATGTAATTACATATTTGTTGTGTCCCAGCTTGTCTATGCCGAACCAGCCTTCTAACTTGATAGGTAAATTGCTAGTTCGGTCATCATTGTGTTCAGTTTACTCTTAACCGCAGTACAGACAAGTCAAGTTGTGATTCCGTCTATTGATAGTTTGATGCGGGTCATTAGCACACGACTTTTTGATTGGTTGGTTGAACAGCAACTTTATTCGTCAATTAATTATTTTATAAAGAGGGTTGACTGGAGTGGAAAAGCTGGTATTGAATAGGACTTCATTCATAGATCAAACGGCGTGTGTGTAAGAAAGAAAGAAGAAAAAAAACGTGGGAACCTAAAAGTATATTGAGAACTATTTTTCTAGTGTTGCTGAAAAGGAGGACAATTTCAACATGATTCTCAGCACGGTAAATTTTGTCAACAGCAACAACAACAGGAACAGCAATCACAGATTCAGTGACTTTATCATCAGTAAAATTAAA